TTACCTTGGGATCGATCTCGCGGGAGGACGTCGCCACGGTAGGGACACAGCGCGGAAGCGCGTGAAGAAGTCAGGGACGTCACACCAACGGCTTCGACGTTTTGCAGCAGCTGCGAGACGGTGGTCGACCACGAGCATGATCCAGAGGACGGGCCCTCAGGCATCGGCCTCATATGGCCACCAGGTCTTGGGCTGCTTTGGGTCGGTGGTGCTGAGTCACAGGCGACGGTTAGGAGCTGCAGCGGGGTCGGACAAGCGGGGGCGCTGCTTGACATCTCTGTTAGCTCTACGGTTGCCAGGAGCGGATCCAGGAGTGGTGCTGCCGAGGCTTTGCATCACGCAGTGGCTTGATTGTTGGCTGCGAGAACCACGACTTCGTCCGTCTATTCGGTTGGCGTGGTCTCGCACGGTGGATAAGCTAAGCCTTGTCCCTGCTGGGCAGCGGAGTCGTCACGTTCGCGGGCCAATGTCTTCAGCAGTGTTGTATTTGTTACAAGCTGGATGGATCTTGAAGTCTGCTACGGAGTGGCAGGTGCCGAGTGACGGGAGCAATATGGAGCATACTTGGGAGTTTTCCACAGATGCTTTTGTTGGCCTGGACCAGGCGCGACCACTTCTGCAGGAGTTCGAGGACACATTGTACAGACAACTCTGGGAAGAGGCAGCTGGCTTGTTTTGTGGCGGCGGCCTAGAGCAGGGAGCTGATTGGCAGAGCTACCGTGCCTACATCGCGATGCTCCTCCACGCCAAGAAGGGCCGTCAGCTGTCGGAGTTGATGGTGGCCATCGCCACGGGCGGCTACTGGACGCAGGAGCGTAATGTTTCGGCCAACCTCAGCAACTCCGACCAGTGCGAGCGGTGCGAGGAGGCGGTCGACACGCCTCTGCACCGCAATTGGTTGTGCAGTAAAAACCAGGGGTCAGCAGCATATGCCCAATCCGATTGTCTGGCCGTGGAGGCTCAGGCAGAACATGAAGCGTGCCCGTGCTTTTGGATGAGGGGTGTGATCCCCAGTGAGTGGACCCGCGTTACCGCTCCTGCTCAGGAAGAAGTTTTTTTCGGAAGGAATCTCCCCGAGGGGCGTCTCGGTCCTGGGTGTCTCGGCCAGGGGTCTCGGGACCAGCCTTTGTACGTCTTCGGGGACGCCTCGGGGGGAAAAGACACCCATGATAGTAGGTTGCGTAGAGTAGGGTGTGCGGTTGCCACGTTTACTAGCTTTGTGCCTTGTGAGCTCGGTCCGTTTTTGTTTGGACCTCTGGTGGGGTCGGCCCAAACGGTCCCCAGGGGTGAAGTTCAGGCTTTCGAATGGACCATTCGATTCACGACTGGACCCATAGTTTACATCACTGACTGTGCCGAGGTCGCCCGAGGGTGGTATGCGTCTACGAGTGCCAGCCCTGAGGGCCCTCAGGCAGATTTGTGGCGCAGCATCGGTCTCACCCTCGCTGCTCAGGACAGGAGTGCTAGTGATATTGTTGTCTTGCAGGTCCCATCCCATTTGTCGGCCAGCGAGGTCCTCCAGCGTGGGTGGGACAGCTGGCTTGTGATAGGGAACGCGTGCGTTGATGTGCTTGCGGGGTCGGCCGCCACTTTGGCCAGGGTCCCCGAGACCGACAGGTTCCGAGTGCACCAAGTCGAACGCAAAGCGAGACTAGTCAGGAGGCGTCTTCTTAGAGTAGGGTTGGATTGTATTCAGGCTTCCCAGGCCATCAAGGCCAACGATGGGGTTCCCCTGGTTCCGCCTGGCCCCCCTGCTCCTCGGCCTCCTCCTCCTCTCGCCCTCGCACGTTTCGCTTCTGCCCACACCCTGACCGAAAATGGCAGAGCGTGCTCGGTTTGTTTCAGTTCGTGTTCCAAAGATAAAGAGTCCGAATGGTTGAAAAGCGCTTGCAACCCTCCCCTGCCTGTGAATGACAAGTTATCCCGAGCCCCCCTTGGACGGAGTTTACACTTGGCAGGTGGCTGGACGCATCCCTCACACGCCCTTCGGTATCACAAAGACCTTGGATTATGGTTTTGTGGGTCGTGCGGACTTTTCGGTCAGGCCCAGCTCAGGGGCTTAGGTAATCCTTGTCGCCCCCACCTAATCACCAAGGCCAGGCGCGAGTATTTGAATCGAATCGATCGCGACCTGTTTCCCAAGTGCTGAGCTCAGCCTTCTTATCACTACGTGATGGCGGAAATCCTGGAAATCCTCCTAATCCTCCTCCCTCCTCCCTCCTCTCCTCCTCCCTCCTCCCTCCCCCTCCTCCCTCCTCCCTCCTCCCTCCTCCCTCCTCCCTCCTCCCTCCTCCTCCTCCCTCCCTCCCTCCTCCCTCCTCCTCCTCCTCCTCCTCCTCCTCCTCCTCCTCCTCCTCCTCCTCCTCCTCTCCTCCTCCTCCTCCTCCTCCTCCTCCTCCTCCTCCTCCTCCTCCTCCTCCTCCTCCTCCTCCTCCTCCTCTCCTCCCCCCTCCTCCTCCTCCTCCTCCTCCTCCTCCTCCTCCTCCTCCTCCTTCCTCCTCCTCCCTTTCCTCCTCCTCCTCCTCCTCCTCCTCCTCCTCCTCCTCCTCCTCCTCCTCCTCCTCCTCCTCCTCCTCCTCCTCCTCCCCCCGGGGGGGGCCCACAGGAGAGCCCCAGGAGAGCCCCACGGGGCCGACCAGGCCCCCCGAGGCGCCCTCGGCAGGCCCGAGGTCTGCCTCCGGGACGCCCCGCGAGGCCACCCACGAGACCCCCATCAGCCATCTGAGCGGCCCCGGAACAAATTAGCGAACGGTCATGCCATATTCATATGTCAACTGCTCCCCCCCCCCAATGTTCAAAGTTGGCGGTGGGTCTGATGGGATGCACTTCGACCGCAGTCTCCCCCGGGCGTGCCAACAGTGAGGTTGGGGGGGAGGGGGGGTGCTCAGTAATTGTTTCCCTCTACCGTCCGAGCGGCCTCGGACCCACAACCCAACCACGGTGGCCAGAATGGCCGAAGGCCATTCGATGGTCAGCCCTCTGGAATGTTGGCAGATGCCCGCCGCCTGCGGACGTGGGCTTCCCCCGCTTGCCCCTGCGCGCGCGGCGAACACCGAGACTGTCAAACGCAGGAAGCACAATGACCCCAAGAAGCACCCCTCGGGACTCGCACGCTCTGACCCACAACCATGCCGTGATGGACCGAAGGCCATGGAAGATTGCACGGTTCGAGAGCCCGCGCGGGGTCTCCAAATGCAGGATGAAAACATGCGTTCCTGGGATGCCAGGCTCGTCCGCAACCGCCACCCGAGCCCCAGGTTCTAGCCCGAAGACCAGATCCTCACTGTAAGTTTCCTCCTCTTGCTCCTCCCCCTCCTCGTCCTCCTCCTCCTCCTCCTCCTCCTCATTCCCCTCATCGCTTTCCCCTCCTCCCCCTCCTCGTCCACCCCATCCCAATAGGCCAAACACGAGGTTCCTTTCAGAACACATTTTGTTGTAAGTGGTGGCTGGGCAGGCCAGAGGAGTGCGAAGATCTTGAGCAACAACTTTTAACATGCTAACAGGTTGCCACAGAAGCTGTGGCAAGCGGTCCCGCGAAGGAAAAATCAAAGGGTCGACGGATGTGGCAAAAGCCTGTAGAATCATTGAAACCCTGGGATCTGGTCATGATTCTAACACATTCGGCATTTCGGTCTCAAGAGCGCCATGGACGGCCCAAAGGCACACAAGAACGCCCTGAGAGGCCCAAGAGGATCCCAAGAAGGCCCACGAGGCTATCAATATTGCATCAAGAGAGCCCAACAGGAGACACTCGAACTGACATTTCGACCCTCTAACCCTAAGGTGGCATCCGAGATCGCCAGGACACCCCCAAGAGGAACTCAAGAGGACCCAAGTGGTCCCCAAGAGGCTCCCAGCAGGCCCCCTAGAAACACGCAGGATTCCCCCCGCAGCCAAACAGGCCTCCAAGAGGCCGAGGCCTCCAAGATGGGCCCCAAGAGACCCCAAGAGACATGTAAGATGCATCTGGTGGCGGGCTTGGTCAAAGAGCTCTAAAACATTGGTTACAAATATCGTCATCCTCCGCCATCCTCCGTTTGCCCCCTGTTCTCCTCCTTCCTCCTGCCTCAAAAAGCTGCCTGCTCGCAATTATGCTGCTGTTGTGGCTGTCGCTCCTCCTGTTGACACCAGTGGAGCAGGCGGACGTGAGCAAAAACGCTGGGAACATGCACGGAAGATGGAACAATCAACCCGGGGCGTGCGAAATCAGATGCGCATACTCATTACAAGCAAAGTGCGTTCAACACCCCGAACCGTGTCTCGAGCCGCGCCTGGCCGTGGCGACGAGAGCCCCCCCGCTCAAAAAGACACCCCCCAAACCACCCAAACGAAGCTTCTAAAATCGTCTTCGAGCCCTCGTCCTCGTGGTCGTCGTCGTCGTCGTCGTCGTCCTCGTTGTCGTCGTCGTCGTGATCCTCGTCGTCGTCGTCGTCGTCCTTGTCGCCGTCGTCGTGGGCTGCGGCGGCGTCGTGGGTCGAGCCTTGGCCTCGTGGGTCATCAGCGCCGCCGCCGCCATGTTGGGGGGACCAAGAAGAACCGATACCGCCGCTGCCGCTCCCCTGACCTCGGCTACGCCCTGGCCAAGACTCCGCACCGAATCCGGCCGTGGCGACGAGGGCCCTGCAAGACGAGCATCGATCCCTCCTTTTCGTCCTCCTCCTCCTCCTCCTCCTCCTCCTCCTCCTCCTCCTCCTCCTCCTCCTCCTCCTCCTCCTCCTCATGTGAACGTCGATCGCCGTCGCCGCCGTCGCCGCCGCCTCGGGAAAACAACAGGTACCGATATCGCTACTCCCGGGGCCTCTCCCGGGGCACGTTCTGACCGGGATTTCGAGGCGAACCCAGCGGTGGCGACGAGGGCCTCCCAGGAGGCCCAAGAGAAGGGGAAAGCGGGCAGAGGGTGGCGGTATGGGGTGCCTTTGGCCCCTCCGAACGCCGCCGCCAAGACTGCCGCCAGGGGCCCCGGCAGGAGAGAACGCGGGGCCGCGAGGGGCGCGCGGCGCCTGCTCGCGCCGGAAGGGCTGGCCCGGCCAGCGCACACTCGCGGCGCCCTTCGGGGGCCTCGGCTCGGCCCGCGGGCAGCGAGAAAATGAGGGGCGGCGCTAGGGGAGGACGACCCAAAGGGGCGAACATCAGCGATTTCCCGTGCTATGTTTTTCGCGCTCGCGCGCCATGGGCGTCCGACGCTAATGGATGGCCCCAAGGGTCCCCAAGACCGCCCCAAGGCGGCCCAAGAGGCCCCCGAGAGTGGGGAGTTCGCAACGTGATGTGGCATGCACCCAGGACGTCCTTCCACCCGATTGGTTTTCCTTCCAGCCCTTTTCTTCTCACATAGCTTCTCCTATAGGTCGTATGATGTTCAACGCCTGTGCGTTTATCATAAGAATTGAATTCTGCAAGCCCCCAAGACAATGCTATCGTGTAGTACAGCTACCTTAGATTTTTATGTTTCTGAAACAAAAATAGTAATGCATAGCGACGCGCATGCACGTGAGGCTTCTGACACAAATACAATAAGCCCGATGTTGGCATCATGCACACACATACTCATCACGTGGATGTGCGTTAACGTGCATGGTTGCTTTTGTTACGGTGAGTGTTGGTATCTTGAGTTGTTCTATCTAGGTCCTCTGAGGTTCCTTGCGCCACAACTGAGCCCACGCATTCATGAACACCGCCAGTGGAGAGAGAAGAATAGCATTCATACTGCATAACCGTGGACGGATTGAGGGGGGCGGAAGCGCGGAAGCGGACGAGCAGGATAAGGAGGAGGAGGGGGCAAGAGTAAGAAACTGAATGCAATGTTGAGGATGTTGCTTTGCACCACGCTCTCCGCAGAGAGAGCTGCTAGCCTGTATCCTCTGTATTGCACGGGCTGTGCTGCTGACGGCGGTTGGTCATTGTATGTCGTCCACTGCTGGGCGAACGATTTCTTGGCGAGCTTGTCCTTCTTGAATTTCTTGACCTCTACATCGTCAAACTCCAAACGGGCCCGATGGACAGGCTCGCCGCGGGCCACAGAGGGATCGCAGTCGCCGGTGTTCGTGAGAAACGGCCTGTACAAGAACTTCAACTGCGCAACGCCGTCCATGACTTTAACCTCGAAGTCCTTCCAGGCCACACGGAGCGTGCCGCGTGGAATGTATTTCAGCCCGTGCATCGACTTCAGCTTTTTCTTTTCGGGCTCCTCACCCTCGGCAAGCATCCAGTTTTTCTTAGCATCTGTCGTCGTCGTCGGCTTCGGGATGAGGGGCACTGCGAATGCTGGGCAGAAAGTCGAGCGCTTCGGATTCATCACGTTGGAACCGTCCAAGAAGAGCTCGGGGCCGTCGATGTAGCCCTCCCTGGACACAGGCTTCAATTCCATGACCACGTTCTTCGAAGTCCTCTCAGCATTGATGGCGCCAATGACCTTACCGATGTAGGGTAGCTCGACTTTCAGCACCTTTCCAATCGAGTCCTTTGTCTCACGCCGAGATAGCTCAAGTATGGTCCGCTTCCCAGCCGCCTTGAACTCGCAGCAGATGTCTCCGACGTCGGTGGTACGAAGTCGAGCAATCTCGCGGCCCACAGTCTGCTTCAACTCGATGAGCACAACGTCGGGCAGCTCACCGTACTTGGGCTCAGGCGGCTCTGTCTGCCGCTCCCCGTTGCACACGGTGGTCATGTGCGCCAGCAGTGGCACGGGGAGGTTCTTCGCGTTGACCTTAGCCGCAGTAGTTGCGACCACGACGGGGGGTCGGTCAGCATGCTCAATGCTCGGGCCAGGTGTGGACGTTCTGCGGCAAACTCACTGACCACGCGCGCTGCCTTCTCAGCCCGCTTCGCCGCGAAGATGTCGTCGCCCACCTCCATCAGGGTAGGACTATTCGCCTTCTCCTTCGCAAGCTTGTTGAACTGCCCAGTGGTCGACCTCTGCAGGCACGCAAGCAACTGCTCCTTCTCTGAACTGAATTTCCGTCGTTGGCCAAGCAGAAGTCGTGGAAGTCGCAGGCCGCGCCCATCATCAGACGCGCGATCTCGTTGAAACTCTTGGCGCCGATGTCCTGCGCAAGCGTGCCCAGCAGGGAGTGCTCCATGTCTGGCTTGCTCAGCTTGCCGATATCCTCAGAGCACCCTCTCAGCACGTTGAGCACAAGCGGAGTCAAGTACACAGTATCGGCCGCCACTGGCCCTTGGCGAATAATGCACTTCTGGGACCCGAACCCTGAAGCGATGTGAATGAACAGCTGCAGCCTCCGAGTGAAGATGTAGGTGAAACCCACGTTGCTCTCCTTCAGCCTGCTGAACACTTGGATTTTCAACGTGACGTCGATGATATCCTGATCGCTGCTCTTCTCGATCCTCCTGATGAGCTCGATGACCGAGTCGAACCTGTCTTGCAACGTAGCGTCGACCTGTTGGAGGGCGTTCTGTGTCGCACAGTCCCGCGCGTCTTTCTTCGCACGGAAGGCGCCCCCCTGCCCCTTGAGGTTGCTGGCCGACAAGTACCCCATCATCGCTGCATTCATGCTGTCTGCTGGCCCTTTCTGCCCGAGCAATGGCACCCCAGGCGGACACTCCGTCATGCACTGAAGAAGATGGAAGGCCGACGCCGCGAGGTCGTCGATCAACTCGGTGGCGCCGCACGCCGTAAGCTGCGGCCCGCGATCATCCAGGCAGGAGACAATCTCTTGGAGATTCGACTTGGCATTGAAATCGGCATCCGATGGCCTCGGCTGGAGGGCAGCCTCAGGGGAAAACAAAAAAACAACCGCGCATCTGTCCTGAAGGGCGAAGGACCCAGGGGGATAAACCAGGCCGGCAGCAGTCTGAAGCCCAAGAAGGCCGGCTGGAAAATCAGGTTTGAGGGCGGTTGCCTTTTGCTTACCCCACAAGAAGCCCCCATGCACGCATCAGCCTTGAACGCCTTCTTCAAGCTGCTCAACCCCTTGATGACCTTCTCATTCATGCTCGGCATCGGCTTGAGAAGGACCTTGTCGTTGATGACGCCTGCCATGGCAATGTTCACGAAGGCCACCATCTTGTCTTCCTGGACGTGCGCCCCGTCCATCTTTGTCCTCATGTAGTCGGCGATGGCCTGGATGAGCGAGATCGCGCGCTTGCTGTTCGACTCCATCTCTGCCAATGACTCCGGGGCAAACTGGCACTTATTCCTTCCTTTTTGTTTGGCGTTCGGCTTGGGCTTGTCTTGGAAAATCCTTTTTCGGCAGAGTCGGCTTCACCTTCCTCCTGACATTCCTCCGCCGCCGCCTCAGCCTTAGCCTCAGCCTCAGCGACGATCGCCACCGCATGCTCGAGCCTCGTCCCCTTCAGGCTCTCGGACTCTGCGACGTCCTGGAGCAAGGAGTTGACCGCCTCCTCCGAGAACTCGCAAGCAGGGTTCTCCAGACCACACGGAAGCAACCTAAGGGGTTATACGCGTGCCTACATCTGAACGGCATGCAACCTGGGCCAGGCAACCTGGGGGGAGCACGTTGTGCTTTTAGATTGAGCAGCTGACAAAATCGAAGAGAGATCACCAAAAAAGAACACGCGTACGACCCCCACACCTGCACTGCCCCAGCTTCTTGCTGGGCCGCATCTTGAGGAACAACATGATGATATCCACGATCGCGTAGTTGAATGGGCCGCCCCGCAACTTCCTGAAGACTGTTGCGCACACGCGGATCACGAACAAATGGTCCTGCATGGGCTCGCTCGAGAAGTCGACCAACTCCAATGCCTTGGCCTCGAACTCCTTCCAAACCGTCGTGCTGCCGTGCTTCTCAGCTGAGGGGCCCCGAGTGATCACCTCCTATTTGCTCTCCTTGAACCAGAAGGTCGCCTCCTCGTAGCGCGCGTAGCTACACCACATTTTCGGGAACATTCCATTTGCGAATTTGAGCTTCTTCGAGCCATGGGCTGGCTGTGTCAGGACAGCAATAGTCCAGCACATTTTATCCTTCTTCTGCTTTCACGCAGGCTCGACCTCTGAAGTACGCATGGCAGACCCTACGAACGTCATGGCCGTGACGACTGCGCTGACCTGGTTGTCGAAGTTGATGATGAACTTAGCGGCGTCGCCTGGCATGGCAGACTCGCACAACTCTGCCCTCTGGATGCCATTGGCAACGGATAGCTGAAGGGCCTTGTTCCCCTTCTTCTTGTCCTTCTCGCATGCAGGGCGGGCGCCTTCCAGCAGCGTCGCCCAGCTGAGCAGCGCATGTTTTTTTTTTTTCTTACCTCCAACTTCCTTCTCTCGCATCCTCGGCGGTGCCCGAACTGCAATGACGCCGGCTTTCTTCACTGACTGCTGCTTCTGTTCCACGGGCCCTTTACCGCCGCGGCCAGCGTAGCACGGGCCCCGCAGAGTCGTCCATTCGCCGTCCGCATCAACGAGCTGAAGGTTGTAGGAAGGACCGATCATGTAGGGGCTGTCACAGATCTGCTTCTGCTCTTGAAGTGGCCTCTCCCCAACTCGAGCCTCGAACGATGGGTAGGCAGTGCACTTGTTCCGTTGCATCTCGGCCATGGTAGGAAGCGAGGCTGCGACTGGCAGCAGCGCATCGCGGGGCCGCGCCTCGCTCGGAGGGCCGCCCTGGGCGGCCTCTGCGACCGCAATCGATTCCGCCATCGGCGGCAACCGTCGGACTTCACCCTTGTCGCCCGCGCGGCACAACAGCACAAGCAGTGCAAAAGTGGTGCGCGTCAAACCGCTTGAGCCAGTCATAACGGCTACGTCAGAAGTCAAAAGTCCAACACGCCAAGAGGCCCAAGAGGTCCAAGTAGCCAAGAAGCCCAAGAGGCTCAAGAGGCCCGCCAACCAAGAAGCCTAAAAGGCCAAGGGGCCCAAGAGGCCCAAGGCCCAAGAGGGAACTGGCCAGTGACCCACGAGGCCCACTGCCCACGAGGCCCAAGAGGCCAGGAGGCCCAACGAGGAGGAAGAGGAGGAAGAGGAAGCGGGCGGGCGAGCGGCGTCTATGACCAGTCCAGCGGCGGCCGCTCGCGCGCACATCCACACGCCCGCCCGCCCGCCCGTAGAGCATCTAACACGACCGTTTTAGCTGCTCTACGTTGCT